CCTCCCACCCGCGCTGCTTCCCCCGGCCCATCACCTCCGCCCACCTCTTCCTCTCTGCCCCTCCCACTTCCCCCGGTTTCACATCCCTCAACTCCATTTTTGCTCGCGCCCCTCCCTGTCTTTTTCCCCTTGGCCCTGGTCCCGAGCTCCTCTCCCCTTCTCGCGGCCCGGCCCCCCCAGACCTGCCCTGCTTTCCCTGTCGGTCCTCTGCCGGCTTACTGCCTGCATCCCCGCGACGAGTCGCCTTTGTTCTTTCTCGGCTGACAGCTTAGCTCCAGTCCAGCCTTGTGGCAGTTTCCGTCCTCTGGCTCAGGGACGTGTGTCGCCTTCCTGCCAGGTCTCCCAGCTGCTGTGGGATCAGTGCTGGGGAGAACGGCAATTAACATTCATTCTGCCACCCCCCAGCCCCGCGGCTAGTTGCCCCAAGCGTGTACATTGAGTTCCCTTCGCAGCTTTATCTTCGAGGAAGAGTTTTTCCTAGTTCCAGGCCTCTCCCCACCTGCTGCGTCCAGCTCCTTAGCTTCTGGGCCACATCCCTCTCTCTTCCCCTCGTCCATGCACCCTCTCAGGCCCTTCTGTTTCAACCCGGGTGAACCCAGAGGCCTGACTGACTGCAGCCTCCTGCTGTGCGTCCAGCCCCTGCTCCAGAATCCTATTCGGTGACCTGGCCACTCTAACCATATTGCCTTGACTCTAAGAGACCGGCCACACCATTCATTTACGAACAGCCGGAGGGGTAGAAGGATAAGACTACTAAATGCAGTGATCGAAAGATGTACTCTCTTACAGAAATGTTAAAATGCTTGAAAAGTTCAGACTTAGAGTTGAGGAAATAGGATAACAATAGTAATCAACATTTACTGAGTGCTTTCTATATGTCAGACACCCTCCTGCGTAAGTACTTGACATACGGTTATCTCAGAGTTTCCTTTCCACAATTTAAAGACCCCTGAGGGGGTGCACATCTGCTTAGCCCAGGTGGTGGGTGTTTAGGGGGCAGGGGTGGCATAGTGATTTGCTTCTGATTTGCTGTCTCTGCATGGAGCCGCTTCCTGATTGTGTGTTGGGGCCCTAGCGGGGTTCCTGATCTGAAATGGTCACTGAAGGAGGACGGTGGGTATCTTAGGAAATAGATCTCTGTCTGGAGAGGGGAGAACTGCGATTGTTCCCCTGCTGTGCTGCTGGTTTTCTTGATAAACTCAGCTGTTTGTGGTAGAGTAGAACATTCGAGGATGTTGGTTTTGAAACCCAGGCTACCTCTTCCTTGAGTAGCTTGTGCAAGGGTTACCCAGGTGGCTAGGTGGAAGGATACATCCATCTGTTAGCCATATGGTCCTGGAAAGTTATTTTTAAACAAAACCGATAAGCCATTTTATCTCCAGTTTACATGCAGACATTTGTCTGCATGCCTCTCGGGTCCCGTCAGCTGAGTGTGCCATTTCTCAGTAGCTCTTCACACTAGTTCAGTGATATCAACACACCTGATCAGGGCAGGAGGGAGGAAGAATGTCGAATGTGGAATTGGAACATATAAGGGGGCATCAGGTATTCAGGGGACATTGTGGGTCTGAACATCGTAAAAATCTGTGATCGATCTCTACTTGGAGGCTGTAAGAGGTCTTTAGAGGCCACAGATGGACTCCACCGAGGAGATGCCTATAGCTTGAGAGTGCTGGAGGGAAGGCTTAGCTTCCAGCTGACTCATGTGTTTGGCCTCTTGCAACCCAGAGTTTTCCAGTGAATTGCACAGCCAGATACTGACCCAGCCTACTCCTGGATGAGGGCTGCCACTTCCAAAA